ACTATATAAATAAAATCGACGTATAATAATGCTCGTGCAGTTAGTTGCGCTCGCATGCGAGTACACCTACATGGTGTACTTCGGGTTTTATAACGTGGCCGACGACATCAGGTCGTTTTTACACCTCCCGCCTTTATAAAACGAAACTTTTTTTAATTATTTTGCGGTCATCTTTCTCAATGGGGCTCACGACCTCAGACATGTGCATACTACTCTTCAAAAGATTCATTTTATTTCAAGGCAGGAGGTGTGTAAAAATGACCTAATAATATCGGCCACAGAGAGAGAGAGAAAGAGAGAGAGAGAGAGAGAGAGAGAGAGAGAGAGAGAAAGAAAGAAAGAGAAAGTAGGCGAGTGAGAGAGAGAAAGTGAGCGAGTGAGAGAGGGAAAGTGAGCAATTGAGAGAGATAAAGTGAGCGAGTGAGAGAGAGGAAGTGAGCGAGTGAGAGAGAGAAAGTGAGAGAGAGATAAAGTGAGAGTGACACAGAGAAAGTCAGAGAGTGATAGAGAGAGTGAGAGAGACAGTGAGAGAGTGACAGAGAGAGAAAGTGAGGGTATGAGAGAGATAGAGTGAGAGTGAGAGGGTGAGAAAGTGAGAGGGAGAGATAGAGTGAGAGTGAGAGGGTGAGAAAGTGAGAGGGTGAGAAAGTGAGAGAGACAGAGAGAAAGTGAGAGAGACAGAGATAGTGAGAGAGACAGAGAGAGAAAGTGAGAGTGAGAGAGAAAGTGAGAGTGAGAGAGAGAAAGGGGGAGAGAGATAGAGAGAAAGTGAGAGAGTGAGAGAAAGTAAGTGAGAGAGAAAGTGTGTGTGTGTAAGAGAGAGAGAGTGAGAGAAAATAAGTGAGAGAGAGAAAGTGTGTGTGTGAGAGAGAGAGAGAGAGAGAGGGAGAGAGAGGTAGAGGCGAATTATCCGTGTGCCGCTTGCAGTACCGCAACAAGCTGAACGCCGAGCAGAGCGCGCGCGTGGCGCTGCAGCGGGAGGCGCTGGCGCGGCGCCAGGGCGAGATGGGCGCCGTGGACGCACGCATCGGCGAGCTGCAGGCGCGCCTGCAGCGCAAGCGCCTGCTCAACGCGCAGCTGGCGCAGCAGGCCCAGCACCTGCAGCAGCAGCAACAGCAGCAACAACACCAACAGCACCAGCACCAACAGCAACAGCAGCAGCAGCAACAGCAACAGCAACCGGCGTTGCAGCCGCTCAGGTGGGTCCCGCGTTCAGTCTCTCGTCATACTCTTATTTGATTTAATGTATGGAGTCAAGTGCTTAATAAACTAAGTGCTCATTCGGTCGCTCATTCATTTGTAGCCACTCGTCATTGCGTTATTAATTTTTTTTATCATTCATCAATTAGTCGTTCTTCATTTACTCGTTATTTCATCATTCTTGTATTCGTATATCACTCACGAAATATTCATCGTAGATGCAATCATTCCCTATTCATTCATCCATGTGTCATTCTTTCATTAATTAGTCATTCTTCATTTACTCGTTATTTCATCATTCTCTTATTCGTATACCACTTACAAAATATTCATCGTTGTTGCAATCATTCCCTATTCATTCATTCATTTGTCATTCTTTAATTCATCGTCATTCGCTCATGCTTTCACCATTCGCTCGTTCATTCATAATTCGCTCATTCATTTATCGTTGTCGCATTAATCGTTCGCTCATTTTTTTATTATTTATTCACTCATTATTTTCATTCTCATATATTCATCATTGACTTACGCAACTATTCACCGACAATATCGCAAGCACATATGACGAAATCTTGCTATGATTCTCGAAATGATCCCAAATATCAATATCGATATCTTTGTTTTAGATATTTTGATTTTAAGGGAGTAAGCATGGGGAAGCGTCACAGCAATCGATCTTCTGCGCATGTGCAGTTCGAGTTTCGCATCACTTTTAAGCATCTGAACGTCACTTTTGTTCATGTGCGAATGCGCAGTATGTCTCAGGGCTTTCGATATCTGTACGCTGTGCCGAGTTTCAACCCCCTTTTGATTGCCCCAAGTACCGATATCTCAAGCAAAGGCATCGCTAGCTTTCGCCAAGTACCGATATCTTAAGCAAAGACAACGCTAGCTCTTTCCAAGTTCCGATATCGAAAACAAAACATCACTTAGCCTTTGCCAAGTACCAATATCTCAAGCAAGGGCATCGCTATCCTTTGCCAAGTACCGATATCTAAAGCAAAGGCATCGCTATCCTTTGCCAAGTACCGATATCTAAAGCAAAGACCTCACCAGCCTTTGCCGAGTACCGATATCTAAAGTAAAGCGTCACTATAGCCTTTGCCAAGTACCGATATCTAAAACAAAGCCATCGCTAGCCTTTGCCAAGTACCGATATCTAAAGCAAAGGCCTCACCAGCCTTTGCCGAGTACCGATATCTAAAGTAAAGGCATCGCTAGCCTTTGCCAAGTACCGATATCTAAAACAAACGCACCACTAGCTCTTTCAAAGTACCGATATCTAAAACAAATCCATCGCTAGTCTTTGCCAAGTACCTATATGTAAAGCAAAGGCATCGCTCGCGGGGATGTAGCAGTGCGTCGACCGTGCGTGTGTGCGTGCGTGTTGCAGGCCGTCGGCGTCGTCGGGCGCGCTGGGCGGCGGCGT